CTCCCCCCCCCCCCCCCCTTTAAAGCCGCCACTGAAGTATGACTTTCCTTTTGTTTATATTTATGTCTTTTTTTGTGTCTGTCAATGAATGCAATCACGGCTCCTTGACGATAATATGATAATGTTGTTTACTTGTTGTTTAATTATAATTCATTTGTAGATACTGGATGCATGGGTAAACTAATCCCCACAATATGGTACTCTGTAGACGATTAAGCGCCTTAGCTAAACAAAAAGAATCGCAAACTTTCCTGGTTTTTATTATAAATGTTTATGTAAGGACAGAAAAACAAACACAATTTTGCACCTTTTTATTATATGACGCAAGAAAATTTACTGCCCTACTCTGACCAATGTCTTTGTAGATGTTATAGATGTTATCTATATTTCATTGCTTTGCAGAAACAAAAATGTTTTTTTTGTGTGTGTGTGATTTTCTTTCAAGCTACATTTCATTTTCTAGAATTAAAATGTATACAGCTAATAATTCAATTATATGTAAATCGTTACAAGCTATAGGACGTGGGGAATCTATACACTAAATAATTTTTTTTAATTAAAAAAAAACACCAGGATACCCGGTATGTACGTAGCCAAAATAGGTACGTCTCGGGTATGTTTTCCTCTGATACATGTAGGCCTAACTTTCAAATAAGATGACATTTTGTTCAAAATAACAATTTGAAGTTCAAAACACAGTCTAGAGAAATATGAAATTTTATAAATACATTGTACATTGTACTTGTCGGTCCACTCTATAGTGTGTCTGAAAACAATGTTAAAATTCTTTTCCATATGATCATGAATAATGTTGCCGCTGGAACAACAGCATATCATGTAATCTGTTACTTCTCTACCCTTATGTAATACTCTATCTTAGTAGCTTTCTCTAACGGTTAGTAACTAATTAATTTTATGCACTACTGCTAATAAATTGTACATCTGCCGTCAAAACTGGCGAGATATTGCAATACATACTTCAAAACCCATATTTCACAAATAAACAGTTTAAAGAAAAAGTTAATAAACGGAATTTATTAAAAGTTAGCTGATCAAATAAACCACTTTGTCTCAAATGCATTACCCACTCATCTACTAATGAAATAAAAAGATATTAACCAATCCTAAGATACTGCCTATTAAAAGGACTCTCTTTTTGGTCTCTATTTTTATCTTTTTGCCTCAAGGAATAAGAAGCCCAGACATTACATATGAGTAGGCCTACTATAAGGCCATAGTCTGATAATACGCTGAATTTTAACTAGGCAGATCGCATTTTGCCTTAAATGACAAAATCCTGATTAAATCTCGTCGATGGAATTAAAAAGAAATCTAATACAATTTCTGTGGGGAAACTCCTGGTTGAGCGATGGAAATTCCCACACGCCAATTATAATGCACAAATAGTTTCCTGAGACCTTAACTTATCTGTACATGAGATCAGGATCTATTGTCAATCAATGAAGAGACCGTCCTTTATTCCACATCAGATTGGCACCAAAGACAATCTGTTCGGTTATCCAAGTTTCTCGCGAGTTGACAGGTTTGGTGATGTTAATTGTACGTGTCCTTTAGAAATGATATTTTCAGAAAAAACCTCTAGACTGTTGAGTTCAAACAGTTATACGTATTTTTATGGATAAATAATTTTGTATTGCATAATCCGAGTCAAACAGCTTATTAATTTCCTTTGATGCCAATCTGATCCTTTAAGAATTAACAGTGCCAAATGGCCAGTGATGAAAATCAACCAACTTTATGCTGTGTGACCGACTTCTACGGATCGGCAATAATCTAATTGATACACGATAAAATGATAAAATACAAACACCATATAAGCCCTGCTTGTTCTCTAAAACCCTTTTTTTTTTTTTTTTTTTTTTTTTTTGCAGTCTAACAAAATTCATGTCTTGTTTTGTTACCGATATTCATCTGTTGCAATGCAAATAAAAATGCAAGGATTTATAAGATGAAGTGCTCTGCATACTTTCAATTCAGCTGATGCTGAAATGAGAGAACCTTTGGTACGTAAACTCTAACTACCAATCCAAACCTTTTTTACCGAAATGTTTTTCAACTTAAGATGCAATGCCCTTCTGATTTTTTTTTTAGATTTTACCAAAACAAGGAAATTAACATTCCAAGAATCCTTTCTCTCTTGAAAATAAAAGCTGCCAGATTTGTGGCGGTGAATCCATTACAAGATAAGTTATTACTTCCCCAGGAGGAGATGAAGAGTTCAGGACAGTGTTATCGAATGCTATTCCTTCCCACTGCTTGCTGGCCGTGGGTAGTTTGTATTCTCGCATCTCAGAGGTTGCCAAGTCCCACGAGCGCAGGACACGAAGGTTGTCCAATAGAGCAAACAAGGAGTTATTGAAAACTGTCAGCGACCCAATCTTGGTTTCTACTTCTATAGCCTGCAAAGGCACTGGCACTGGTTTCCCAGATGATGTCTCCGACTTCAGAAAGAAGACCTGGATAAAGTCAGTCGACGAGCCGAAGAATGTGCCAGAGGTATTGTCTTTTTGGGGATTGCCGTACCAGGACATTTCGCTGTAGGTTATGCCTTCGAAGACTGGTTTCTCGCCTGTGGAATTATATACGTTTATTATTATCATCTACACACGTAATCGGACAATACAAGCAGTGCGTTACCAAAAGCCAAATGAATGATTCAGAAAAGGATAACTTAACACCAATCAACTTTTAATAAACATTGAAATTGAATTGAGTGTTTAATTTCATAAAAAAGAGCCATTTCCAGCGTTGATATTCAGTATCGACAAAAATGATGGAAAATCAACCGTTTGTGGTCATTATCTACACAAATAATCGTACAAAACAACCAGTGCGTTATCAAGAGTCAAACGAATGATTCAGAAAAGGAAAACGTTACACCAAACAACTTTGAATAAACATTTAAATTAAATTGAATTGGCTGTTATAACTCGTAAAAAAAGAGCCATTTCCAGCATTTATATTAAGTATCGACCTAGAAACTGATTCAGCTCTATGGCATCGACAACCGTTTGATCCTGCAGGTTGTAGAGCAGTGCCTGGTTGGTTGGGTACTCCGTGGCGATGTAGATCACATCCGGTGCCGCTGAACTACCGAAGGTCAACCCTTCAATATCATATCTTTCTTTTTCTGAAAAGAGAACGATCACCATTTTGGAAAAAAAAACAGAAAAAAAAGTTAAGAGTAGTTAATAGGGAGAGTACTAAATGGAGCTCAATTTCGACAAAACAAAGCCGTTGACAAGTGAATTAATAACCACTTAAATAGAAATCCAATTCAATGACTGTCACCTTTCTGATTTTTGTAACAGTTTTTCCTTCACTTCCTTACCGCTGATCTGTATGTATTCCTCAACTTTTTCACTCTGGAGGTGGATTTTGGCCAAAACATTCCCAGAACATGTCCACAGGTACAGACCAGAGTGATCCAGCAACGCATCACTCGGCTCAAAAAACGGGGGCAGGCTTATGTTCAGTCTGTGACAACGGTGAGACTCGTGAAGACCAAAATGCAAATCTGAAAAACAACATTGAGAATTGCAATAATTGTTTTCATACAGTTAGCTTTGTGATTGTAAATGGCAGCTATAAAAAGTTATGCCTTTCTATAATGTAAAAGAAATTAAAAAACCAAAGAAAGGAACCCCCAGTTAAACCGTCCTAAAGAGCTTTGATAACCAACAATTGCTTTTAAGCAAATTTCTTCTGCAGCTTATCATATGTAAGTAACTGAATGAAAATGTACTTGATTTTGGCAGTGGTATTTCAGGAATATCTTCTTCTTTGAACAAAGAGGAATATTTTCTAAAGTGCAGAGAGAAGGTGGACAACATGGCCACACACAGAAACACGGTCAGAACGGCAGGTCCAATGACGTCATGGTAGCCCGACTTGGAGTGATGTCTGATCCTGTACAGTCTCAGCTAAAGTTGGAAAACATAGCTCATTATAATATGGGTCATTTCAAAAACAATGGCTTAATTTTTCATAGTTTAAAAAAAAATTGACTATCAGAAGTTTTGTAAAAATTCCTGAAATGTTTAATCAATTAAACATTTAAAATCCAAAGAAAACAAAGTTAATTTATTAATCATGTTATTGACTGACTGGTTTACTGTTCAATTGATTAATCACCTCATTAATTGGCTGAATTATCGATCGATTGACCGATTGATCTACCGCGCAGTTCGTTCGAGTCTTTACGTTTGTTCACATACAGTTTTCTTAATTTGCAACGGGTTACTTACATAGAACATTACGGCGGCGTATATCAGTATCAGTATGGCCAGGGGCATGAACAGCAGACCTACCACTCGAGCGTCTCTGTCCCCAAGGGACACCAAGGCACCACTGAGAGTTACCTGCAATACAGAGTGGACGTCAGAGTGTTTTCTTTGGTTGGAGTTTAAAAACAACAGCATACTCTATACAAGAAGGAAAAAAATCTGAAAATAACATTCATTCAAAACGAATAATTGTAAGTCATTTTTTCGGATACGTTTTTTTAATTATTATTATTATTATTATTATTATTATTATTATGTTGAAGATACAGTATTTAAGAATGTTGAGAACATTAGAGAGCTTTAACAACTGAAGGAGCAAGGAAAAGGCAAGCAAGAGGAACAGGTTCAATTTACCAATAATAGCGAAGACGTTAGCCATTGAATGAAGGTTCTTTCATTTGCAAAATATGTTTTTGGTTCTACTTTCAGACGTTTCATGGCTTTTGGTTGCTCTTTCTGGTTATCTGGATTTGTCTTGTGATGAGTCTTCGAGAACTTGGGCAGAATGAAGTTTCTGTATCTCAGACTTTCTGTACAAAATGAGACACTTTATTTAATGAAGCTATAAGAGTAAGTGGACAGAAAGATTGTTGTATACAGATATGTAAGTGACATACATTATTCCCCCAGAGAAAACTGCGCAGTGACGCATATCGCCTAATCCACACAACCAATTAAAACAAATACGTGTATAAAGGTGTCTTTTTCCCTCAGTTTACACTCGACCCAACAGGTCGTTTATATGCAATCCTGTTCCCAGCTATGGCTATATAGTGCATTTTGCGGTAACCATCTTCGTTACCTTCACTACAGTATCAAAAGTCAACAGCACTATACTCACGATGGTTAAAAAATAAAATCGGAAAAAAAATCGTGGATGAACAAAGCAAAACTAATATTGTACATTAAAGGAATTCATTGTTGAGCGAGAAAAAATGATATTTGAATCTACCGGGGTAGTATGTTCATGTAGGTCTACTTAATAGTAACCCGATGTGTTTGCAAAATGTCAAAAATAAAGCGAAATTTTCTTACTCTGTTCCTCCTGGATGTCGGGAATTTTCCCACTTTCAATTGTCATGGTGATGCTCTCACGACTGGATCCGGCGTAATTCAAAGTGCCGGAGGAATGATCGCCAGCTGTGACATAGGCAGAATCCTCATCCTGGAAGAGGTAATCATTTTTGCCACGGTCTGAAATAACCTAAGGAAAAAACGTAAATTGCATGCTACTAAATACGTCCCAGGAGAGACAGTAAGTATTGTATCGCTTTATTTGACTTGCCTTCACTATCAGTGAGTTGAAAAAGACATAAATTCACATGAATATATCACTTCCTTTTAACTGAATTTCCTCAACAGTGCATTTCAAATGATACATTTTCAAATAAAAACAACATCGTTAACCCAAATATACAATGTGGCAAATTAACATTAAAATCTTTTAAAAAGGTCTTACATAACACTTCTACACACCTTGTTATAAACACGGTTATTCTTCTGAATTACATCATCATTGTACCAATATGGAAATTCCTTGACTTTGAGAGGAAAAAAGCTAGCAGCCGAGTGTTGAAACTTGGAAAACTTTGGCACAGGGCGGATGAATGGAGATTCCACTAGGGCATCAAGCCACTCAGGCGGAGGAATCCTGAGCTTCACTTCGAGGATTGTGTACGGAAACAACCGATAATCTTGGTTCTTGATTATACCTTGAAATAAACATAATGTACAGGTCAATGGTGTATTAATGAATTTCATTTGACCAGGAATTGGCATTACACCCAATGGGAACATAAACTGATGGGCAGTAATGGAATCATGATAGTCACAGAAAGACTAATGATAGTTACAATATAAATAAGAGTAGTTGACCTAGTCACAATTTATCAAGAAATGAAAGGTTAAGTTCTAAATCAAGAACCGTTTCCAACCTTCTTCATTGCGCTTCCACTCAGACTCGCATCTAAGACGATCCCCCTCGTCTATCATGGTTAAGTCAACATCGATAGTAATCCGTACGTCATTATTGTCTGGTAGCTGAAATGCCGTCCTCTTATACACCGTCCTCACTAGGGGCTGCAGGTTTTCTTTGGTTATTTGCCCCTGTATGTCACTAGCCAGTGCTTTCTTTGCTTCCCGTGGAATAGACTTTGACTCTCCTTAAACGAGAGGGAAGTGCTATTATTATCAATGCCGCGAAATAAATTAAATAAGAAAAAAGATGTTCATCAAAACAGCATAACAAAATAGCAAGTAGTCTTCACATTAGTTCTGTTAGTACGTATCTGTCTGAATTCGTGCCTAATCTTGAAAAGAGAATCCACACATGACAGTCTACTCTTACCAAGCATATATCCTTTGACGTCATCCTCAGCCAATAGAAAACGTTCTTTAATGCTGCTCTCCCACACCCAGCTTTCATGATGGGTCTTCCTCTCCACAAACACCTCTGCACCGGGCGGGCCGTCTATTCTTGGACTCTATCAAGAAATACAAAATATTTCACAGGCTTAAGTTAAACTTTGTCAGGTAGACATTTAGATACAAATGAAAAAAATAACTTTTTCACATAAATGGCACATACAAAAGATATACATATTCAATTAAGTACTAGAAATACGATTGGGACTTACGTTTTTGCCATGCGGTAGATTGTACCATCGTAATCGAATTAAAAATGCTCCTTCCTCAAGCTTTACCCGCCTGTGGTAGCAGGCCAAACTAGGGTTGTCTAAATACACCGAAGAGACCCATGTTGTAGATGGTGGAGTACTCTCTAACAGGTTTTCGTCTGGAGATATTTTCTGTTTTGCCGGAAATTTGGTCCTGCAACATTTTATGAATGATCAACAAAAATATAAGAACCAAGCTCTGTGTCATGTCTGGTTGAAGCTGTTTAGTAATCCGTGCGAGAAAGCGGTCACAAGTTAAGCACTACCATACAGATTATTTAAAGTGGAAGCAATAACAATTAATTTTGATTTGCACTGTACACAATTTATTTACAGTTCATTTACAATATTGCATCACTGGATAACAACAACAACAACAACAACAATGATAAGAATACACTTATTGGAATACATGACATACTAAACAGGCTAAATGGAATGTAACTATTGCCTGGAAGCTTTTACGAGAATTCTAGATCAGTTTGCATTCGCTTATTCGTGGCCTGAAGATCATAGCGGTCTTCTCTGAGATTTTCTCTTTAAAGAGATAGAGTCTCATCAAATCTGATATCATAAAGCTCATTGGAATAATGTATCTGGCCCGATCATTCAGTCGTCTATTGTCAGGGTTACCCCTATTGTGCATGTAGGTAAACAAATATTTTAAGAAATTTATGAACGGTCCAGAGCCCATGGACTAACAAGTACCAAGTCACATATAATAAAATTTAGTTATTCAACAACTCTTTTTGTTATTCTGACTTCCAAGCATCTAAAGAAAAACCTCGTCGGTCTTCAATAAAAGTATGTCAAGGGCAAACGACGTCTCTCATCAAAAACCGCCAGAAAAATGCCATTGTATTTTTAACAGTTCCAGCCATTTTTGTCTGAGATTGTCAATAAAAAATAATAATTGTCTTCGACTCGTTGACTAACACTAAATAACACTATATCCGGTTTACACGCGCGCGAACCACGTGGAGTGCAGTGTATTACCGATAAAAAGGATATATTATTTATTTATAATTTTCTACTCCCAAGTTTTCTGTAAACCCTTAGCTTGATGCTTCATGATAGGGTTTTCTATAACTCATATTTTTATACCCTTTCTCATAAGTGATAACAGACGCACCACAATTTAATAAAATATTGCTCGTTTTCCTTCCAATGCCTGGTTCACAAGCAAAGTTCATTTATGAGACACATAACAATTTTCTCACAAAGAACTATATAAACTATATCACCCGTATACAGAAACATATCTACTAGTAACTGCATAAAATTATTCCCCGCATAAACAACTATAAAAAAAGAACTCTTACGCAAAACCATTAATATATAGGGCTCGTATGAAAATTGGTTCAGTGATATTTGAAACACAACACTGTTGATATAAAACCCATCAGATCGCAAACGTCACCTCATACTACACTTCTGTAAATGCATATGTTGCAGGCCAGATCAGAATCCAGTCCAGTTCTGAACTGACCTACGCCAGATCAGATTACGAACAATCAAAGATAGCCAAAGTCTCGCGACTTAGCGTAAAATCAAGCCGTTTTTCGCGGGATGTGAAAGAAAGTGTGTCTAGAAATAATGACAGACTAGTGAGTGCAGTGCAGCGACGAGTAAAAGGTGATAAATTTATCCACGGATATTTTTTCGTGTTTTTTTTTCTGATTATTTTCTCTTTCTACGCGCTTTTCTTTCTTTCTTTCTTTCTTTTTCCACGACATTCCCAATCTACACAGTTTCACCCTTAAGGGGTAAGTTGGAGATTTTCTCTATAAATAAAGGTCTTAGCTTTTTTTTATTCCTGTCACATTCATTTAATGTATCTTTAAAACATCTAATTATGCTTGAGACACAGCTCCAACTTCATCGTGTAACTTAATATTGGGATTTTGGGGACAAAAACACCTTTTTAGCTGTCTGATTTTCTCAGGCACCTGGACAGCTATAAACGTGCTTTTAATGGTATTATAACACTTGAACAAAGTACTACAAAAGTGAGACAGGGATTTTTCTTTAGAGACTTATTGATGATTTTATCTATAAAAAATGTGAAATAACATCAAAATATTAAGGAATTTTCACTTTCAAATTCAATAAATTGGAGAAGAGAGGATCAATCAAAATTTTTAAAAAGGCACTTGTAGCATGGAGATTTAACATAATAATAATAATAATAATAATAATAATAATAATAATAATATGTATTTATTTGCAACTTAAAAAGTTGGATTTTACAATAAAAATAAATAGTGGTGAGATGCACGATCTTAAAATAACCTTGTAAGTGTTAAAATGATTCAATACACATTAAAAGTTCATAAAAGCCTCAGTTCTTAAAATTTGATAAAGCCCATGGGATAAAAGTTTTGGATGATCGTACAGTCCTCAGTTTTGGCATATCAGTGCGTATGTCGTACAGCTCCCTTTCATGCTGCCGAACTGCCTAAGGTCAATCTTATTGGTCAGAATGTCCCAAATCCATTTAACAATAAAACCCTCCAATAACTTAGAGAGCACATGGTAAGGGATATAAGAAAGGCATATACGGATTTAAAAAAAAGAATATTGGGTGTAAAAAAGAGCACTAGTGATAACTTAGTTTATTGTACATAATTTAGTATATTATGAAAAGCGGGAGATACCCACTTCCAATAAGTATGAAGCTACGATTTTTTAATATTGCTTTAAATCCCCTCTTCGAAAAATTGTATCATAACAGCGTGCTATAAAGATCTACTCAAGAAAAATTTTGCTTGGGTAATTTGAGTACGGATTAACTGGAGAAACTTGGCTTGTCATTAATTTTTCATGAAAATATGTCAGATAACTTTATTCTATTCTTGACAGAGTAAAGATTGAAAGATAATTTCAGAGAAACATTGACCGAGAAAATATCCACAAGGAGTAAAGGGCTATTGTACCAACATGTGGTTGAAAATTTTACACTGTAATTTTATTTAAATAATCTAATTTCACATAAATATAAGGAATTAATTGTCAAATTTTGACTTTCATCACATAATCTAGCTATAGAAACGGGAAGGTAAACAGGCACAAATAAAAATTAAGAACCTGTAAACTATGTATTTTAGATGACATCGAGGATGAATTTCATTTTATTCTTTTAAGAATTTTAAAATGTTTTTGCTTCAGAACGATTAGACAGAAATACATCAAAAATTTTATTTAACAAACAAAGTGTTTTCAAGCTAATTAAATTGTTATCCATTAACTACGTTTACAATTAAACTACTTATGAAAGTACTTAAAATGTTCTTAAAGCACTCTCCTGTCAAAAGACAATAGGTCGCGCCGTGCTTTATTTCGTGTAAAGTCACGTCATCCACGAATGCGTTCCACGCACCAGTGCACAGGGTGCTTTAAGCCAGATAAAGCACTCGGCGCTGAGCTTTACGCGAAATAGAGCAGATAATAGTCTCGGCTTCGCCTCGCCAATTATCTGCTCTATTTCGCGTAAAGTTCAGCGCCTCGTACTTTATCTATACCGTCAGAGCTTGGACATGATGACGTTATTATGTCCAAGATCAGAGCTAGGATTAACGTCAGCCTGATGAGTTTTTATCATAACTACTAGTAATTTTTTTTTTACTTTATATTTTTATTACATTTCATTCTGATGAGCCATAGGGAGCAAGGGTTTAATTAATTGAATTGAACTGAATTTCACAAATAACATGGACCTCGTATGGAATGATCAACAGTACTCTCAAGTCATTCGAATGCAGTGTTTTATACAACTTGGGATAACCATAATTAAATGCTAGTTAAAGAATTGAATAGACTGGAATGGCTTTACACATGTTCACGAGGACTTAGACCCCTCGGGTAAGACCCCATTTCCATAGATTTTAGATCGATCTATCCCTGTGGGGAGTGTCACTAGATTACTGTCAGCTTAGCCGGCTTAAGCGTCTGTCCCGCCTACTGAAAGCTGTAAGGGGGTAATTAACGATGGTGCGCGCTCGGCTGACTGCAAAATTTAGCGTGAACCCCCAGGGAGTTAGGTCGATCTAAATCTTAATCCCTGGATCGATCTAAATCTCTGGGAATACACCCTAAGAGATAAGAATGAGTATGAACTTTTATCAGGAGTCAGAAAAGTCATCTTACAGGTGGACAATGCAGCTCAGTTAAATTTGACAGCTTAACATGCTGCTTGTCTCTCTCTCCTCGGGTGGCACGATTGTCGTCATCGGACCACGTGACCACGTAGCTCATTAACTCCCAGGCTGAGCAAAAAAGACGTTTTTTACGCCAAAAATTTACAAAACGAGCTTTTAATTTGTGTATTTGGCTAACGATATCGTTAGTTGGGCATGTTCTCTGAAGAATATGTTCCGTTCAGTCCATTAGTTAGTTAGAGCCGTGTTTCAAGCATAATTAGATGTTTTAAAGATACACATGTACATTAAATGAATGTGACAGGAATAAAAAAGACCTTTAATTTAAGAGAAAATCTCCAACCTACATTCCCCCCTTAACAGCAATTTTAAGTCGTGTACAGCAATAATTATTTTCGTAAACCTTGTGACAATTACATTATTTACAGAAAATTAGTAAATCAAAATGCTTTAAAAGATTATATAAATCAAATTTTTGAAGTTAACAAAAAAAAAACTTACCTTTTTTTGTCCTTGAACACATAAACTGGCAAGTGTTTTATCAAAGCTGCCTTGACAGCAAACGTATCTTCCGCCTTCACCCAATACTTCACGCTTTTCCTTTCAAACACATCACTTTCGCCATTTTCTTCCGAGTCTGAGCCCTTGGATCCCTCGCACTCTGCTTGGACACTTCTAATGGTACCGTAAACAGCGCTTACGTGAAACAGAAAGGCCTCTAGTTCGTTGAAGGCCCTCCCAAAAAACTGCTCGTGGTTCTGGGCAAAATACCAGTTGCTGACGACCCCGGTTAGCTTGTCGTGTTGTTCGACTATCATACGGAACCCCTCACCATTCAGCAAAGTGAATTTGGCCAATTCTTTAAGCTCTTCAACAAAATTGTCAGTGAGCTCAGTTAATCTTTGAATCGGCGAGAATCCGTTTTCGCGTTTACTCTTCGAGCTTTGACATTTTTGCTGTAAATCATCTTCTTGGTTCTGTAATCTCTGCAGTGTTATTCGAAGTTCCTTGATTTTGACGGAGATGAATTGTTTGGTTCTTCCTAACTCGTCAATGAGAATTTGGACAAATTCTCCTTCGCTGTCATTTCCACTGGATCGCTGTATGAAACTTTTTAAAGTGTCGTACTGCAGACTTTGGTATCCGTGCTTGGATTCTAGACAAAAGCGGTTAAATTGTTCCTCGTATTTCATCGTACCTGATGGAAAATGTTGACATGCAATCCAATTTTTGGTGCGTTTAAACTAAAGCCCGTAGAATTCACTTATTTTTTAGTCTTAAAAAAAAAACAGCTGGTGCATTTTCATTCTATTCCCGACAAGAGACCAGAAAGGTTTTAGTCAGCACTTAGAGCGTAAGAAATGACCTAATTCTTGTTTATCTGTTTCTCAGATGATAATATAAATTTTGAAAAAATCCAATTAGTTTTTACTTCTATCTGCTGGTATCACTTAAGGTACACCTTCAACAAGCACAGCGCTAATGGGTCGAGGTGATGGTACCTCACTTTTTACACACTAAGTCTGTACATCACGACTGAGATGCCAAGCATAGCGCAGCACACTCAAGCACACCCACTGACCTGGGTTTGGTGATAACCGTCTTCCCACCTGTAAGTTCTTACCTAATACTACAGTTCGAACAGAAAACAACAGGCCGTACCGTCCCTTGTTCCGTGTAGAGTCAGGACACGCACCGCTAACGAGCTGTGGTTCGAGTCAGATAAACCACTTGTCGCGAGGCTTCAAGCGAAATAGAGGACGTCATGCACTTCAATTGTAAATAAAAGATAAATAATATAAATAACGAATTCGTCTCCCCTATTATCTCCTCTATGCCGCGTTAAGTTTTTCGACTCACTCTTACTTTATCTATTACATAGGGTTTTAGTATTCGCCTTGACCCTCCCAAAACGGTTCATATTCAACAGTCAGACGTAACACTGTGATATCATATTTACTTGACTATGCACAACTTGGAAATCATTGGAATGAAAATTTTTGCAGGAATTGTGGGCGTTATTTGATAGTATCGCAAATTCACTAATCGAGTGAAAAAATTTAATCACATCATTCGGAGTTTTTTCTCAGTATTAGAATAGTACGATTAACCTAGTTATTCAATTTGCATTGAAACGAATTTTAAGTACAAATATTTGATTTCAGGATAGCGAAACTAGCATTGTCTAATGTGGACATTAATATTTATGAAATCAACATTATCTCAGGGTCGGTCTCTTTTTCTCTCTTATGTTACCGTTGGTAGCAATTTATTGCCGCCATGCAGTCTATTCAACGTCTGTCTGTCCAGTTTCCTTTTCATTATTTTCTCTCTGCATCTTAGAAAAACCGAGGAAAATGTAAAACGCCATCTTGTCCGTTTTTTCTTGTTGGTTACTCTGCCTTTAAATCACAATTACAATCACGGAAGAGAAACCAAAATTAGAAACAAAAATCTCGGTAGAGTAATTAATTAAAGTAATTGACGGTGACGATCCTAAAATCGTAGAGGTACTTAGGCCATTTGGCTCTTTTGATCTCTTCCACCAAAAGCAAGTCGCCACATCTGAGATAATTTCGTTAAAGCCAGTCCCAGGTCCGAGCGTTATGTAACCTTCCAACCCGGAGAATATGTCCATATTCAAGGCAACAGTAACAAATATTGGAGTCCCTGTATCTAGTTTTAATGGTCGACTGTTTATATAGGATACAGTTATTTGCGCTTACTAATAGTTTACGGCACGCAGGAATCGGTGCGATTCCCGATAAATACTGGGCCTCTAAAGTAGAAAGGGAGAGACCCCGGGAGATCGTCGTGACTGTCCCTGCCTGCGTGCCAGCCTGTAGTCCGTGTGGGAAGAATAAAAATCTTCATGAACTACAACTGAAGTTGTTCTGAGTTTTCAAGCCGCCGTTCTCTTAAAAATTAGTAGCCAACCAAGGTTACAGTACGTTTTTGTATGACATATCTATCAATCAAAATCATTAGTTCTAGCAATTTTACAATTGAAATCCCCGAATTTGCTCTTGCCAGGCATCATCGCTGATGCTCATAGCTGATTTTGTACATTTTCCTCTTTGTGAAAATGATTTTGAAACCTTTTTGTAAAGACCATGACACATATTAGTTTGCGATTTAGTCTGTAACTTTTAAAAAGCAAAACCGAATGATCGATATTAAAATATCTATCGACCAATAAGTGCATTTGAAAGATATACCGTTATTAAATAATATCAAATAGTAACAGAATCTACGTGAGCCTGTACTCTTATCTAAAATACGCTCGATCTTGCTAGGAGTTTCCTCACACGCAGTAATCGCGCCGTATTCTTTTTGGGGGAAAGTCACTAACGATCACAACCAACTGCCCAGGGTTATAAAAGTAAGGTAGAATGAAGCTGCGGTAGTGTGCCGCAGAACAACCAAATTATCGCAACAAACACAATACTTTGATGCTGATCAAATACCCGAGATTTCTGTGCGTGAATTTGAAAGAGAACTGAAAAAAGTTCATTTGCTCGTGTGACGTTAAAAGAAGACCATGAATATAATAGAAAGGAAGGCCATCACAACATACTTCATTGTTATTTAACCAACGTACTTTACGTTACGTTTTAATATAAATGTAATACAAATGTAATACAAAAACGTTCGTATTTTCGGATTTTACTCCACTCAAAAGATACGGGGATACACAAGTATATCCAAAGCAACAGAAAAAATTCTGTTGTATTTCACTGATGCCCAAATTCCTGGTGGCTGTAATCAGCTATTTAATGGTGATAGAAAAAATTTACTTCGGTTAGCTCCGGCTGTATAAACTGTATTTTCTTATGAAGAATACACCAGGAAATTGTTGTGTGTTCTTCGGGCGAAGAGTCAATTACCAATCTTGAAGCGTTCCCTCAGTGTTTGCGCAGTTTATCTACCACCGTTTAGCTTTAAAATGTCAGAAAATGAAGATTTGTAAGCGTCATTCGAAACTGTCTCATAAGTAATAATCAAGCAGTGCGTCAATAACAAAGGTTCAAGTCGTTTCTCACACCCGGTTAAAAAGAAAGAATTAATTGGTCTTTATTACATTTAATCGCCCCTGAAACATGAGCTCATCGTTAGATCTTGTCAGCCGTCAGAACGCGTTCAATTCTAGGCTTCATTTCCAATCTCAGGTGAGATCGATCTTTGCCTACGTTTGATGTGAATAAGACTTGAATGCAATACTGCAGATCATTAAATTACAGACTGATTTAGCATGTGCGCTGCAACCTGTAGGCTCACTTCCTCATTATGCTACAACAGGCAGATCAATGAGACCAGTTTTCAGATCAGATCAGATCAGAAAAGAAAATTTGCTGCTGTTTTTTTTTCTTTGCCCTAAAAATGTGGTCAGATCAGACATAAGTGATTTATGGTCGATTTTAGAAACCATATTGTCTAATTGAATATACACCTCCTTTTAAGTAGGAATGTCACGAGAGAGAGAGAGAGAGAGAGAGAAAGAGAGAAAGAGAGAGATTTGCACACAAAAGAAACATCAAGTCAAGCCTATGGCAGCAAGATTGCCAGAGAATGTCTTTCATTAAGCCAGATCATATATACAAATGACTATCTGCACTATATCGACAGTTATCCCTAAATCTAATGAAGACAATCATTCAAATAGGGTCGAAGCCAGCGACAAACTAAGGAGATCAAAGATGAAGTGAAAAGGTCAGCAGTTATTATGCAAATTCTACGTTGAAAAACAGCGTCTGCCAAGAAATGATTCTGATACAAAAACAATTCATACAAACGGCCGATTAGAATCATTTCTAACTAAAAGTTTCAGTCAAGTTTTATCATGGAAATCATGCTCCAAACCTGACAATAGGTTTGGCGCTCATGTTAGATTGGACTCGATGGGGTCCATAATGAACGTTGCGGCTCGGTTTCACATTACTGGCGCTGGTTAACATTTAGACACTGAGCTAGTTTATGGGAAAGCAGTCAATGCATACATATTTTTCTTGCGTCGCTGCAAGTGAATGCAATCGAAGCTAATGATGCGCATCGTTTGCTAGAGTGGAAAAAGTAATACATGAATTAATGAAGAGGAAAATTACCAAGCTCTGTTCTATTATTACTGCTGTCATGTATGGCTCGCAAGTAATAACCAGTTTGGTCAAATTCACTGCTTATATCGTTTAATGAAGTACTCAAGCGCGCATGCATTCGCACACGCAGGTGACACGAAAGATAAACAGGCAGGTAGACAGGTAGGTAGTCGGAGTGAAACGGTCGGAAAATTTACAAATAGCCGGATTGACTATACTAGATATATTATCAACTGCAAGACAGGCTGATTTGCGTCATGAAAATTTAAGAAATATTGAGTTTTCTTCTGATTTTCCCTTTTATCCCCTTAAAAAATATATCCCACACCAAAATATTGGGCTCTTTTATTCCAAAAGACAAAAAATTGCTCTTTCTCTTTTTTCTTCGGTGCAATATGCATTATTTCCTTCCTAAACTCAGAACATAATGTAATAAAGACACCTCATATATAGACTCCTTCCTAGATCGTCCACTATTTTCTGTCATTATTTTCTATTTTTGCTGCAGTTATTTTGGTTACAGTGTCTTTTACAAACATCTTTCAATTTTGAATATTAAATCGGATTACATGAAACATCCCATTTGATTCTCCCATCTGCATTTCATTTTATTTAGGGACATGTACTTAGCATTGTAAAATTTCACCTTTTTTCCTTTTATTTGCCATCGTCTACTTTGCATTTATTAAATCCACGCCGTGATATTCCTATGTGTCCTCTTACAACTTACTTTTCAATTAAGATGTTAAAACATACAATCATAACGTGCACATCATTAAATATAGTCCAGAAATTATTTAAGGTGCAAATTATCAGTCTAACAATATGTTTATTATGAGTTTGTGTTGACTACAAAGTTTGAAATTAGAATTAATGAACAAACACCATATTTGTTATGAATCGCAGATCATGATACATGATAGTCGCTGTTCATTAGACTCCTTTGAATGAAATTGTTGTCCTCTCATTAAATGATGGGTTGTAGCAACGTTGACTTCACTATAGTTTCAGGATATGTAATGACAACACAACAAAACACGAGTCAAAAATAAGTTTTATGAAACATCTCACTGTTACGAAACGTTCTCAAACTGGATAAT